TGGGTTTTTTCCAACCTACTAGCCTAGATCGTTAAGCATAGATCTCTATCAACAAACTATTGAGGGATCACACTACTACTGAATTCATGTTCCACTATATCATTTCATTTTACAAGCACTCATAAATCTTTTAAAGACCACATAAACCCAACAATTTATACATCCTCATATTGAAACCCGATTAGGAAGGGACTACGTCCAATCCAAGTGATTGTCGGTCCTAGTTTCAATTTGAACAAGCGATGTTTGGAACCCTTTTAATAAGGAAATCCAACCCTACGCATAGTTAGCAAATCGCCGTATTAAACCCAATTTTTTCAAAAAATCTGAGACTTTTTTAAAAACGTTTTAATCTGCGTATTATTCAAAAGAGCGTAAAAAAATCACGTTTTTTCATGAAGAAGTTTAAAACAGGACTTTTTTATATTTACAATAAATCATTCCAAAAAAACTTTATAATTAATAAAGCCTGTTTTTTTTTTTTGGAAAGTTTATTTACATGTTTCCTGTTTTATAAAAGTTCATTTTTTTATACCTTCAAAAAACGTTTATTTACCTTTTTCCTGCTTTTATTTCTTTTTGTTTTTTAAAAAAAAAAAACTAAAACGGGTGCATTGCATATGGCTGCTGATTTATTGTAGAAAATCACTGAATGCTCAAAGAGATTTATAGGCTTTATTGTATTGCAGCTTTATATGGTATTGAACACTAGTTTATTTTTATTTTTTGAATTAAATCTCATTTAATATCTCATTTTATTTATGATTTAGTTACTAGGTATTAGTCCATGTTCATAATGCTCGATATAAAGTTCCAACACCGAGAGAGAAGAAAGAGAATTACTCATAGAGAGAAATTAGGGGAAAATAGATGAGGAAATTTATTTACTAGTTATCAATCACTGTTTATAATGCCCGATATCAAGCTCCAATACAGAGATAGAGAAAGATAACCACTCATAGAGAACCATCTCAAATAAATTAGGAGAAAATACATTAGGGAAAAATATAGATATAAATAACTATAAAAAATCCCAAAATTTGACATCTTAAAAAAATTAGGAAAAAATATATTTGGGAAAAAAGAGAATTGTATGATAGTGAAAACCAGTGTTTTAAAAACGCCGACTCGCCCGGTTCGACTCGAAAATCGTGAAAAGGGGACCGGATCGCCTACAAAATCGGAAATCGTCCGGTTCTAGAGAGAACCGGATGATTCTGTACAGTGAATCGCTGATTCACTGTACTGAATCGGCGAGTCCCGTACGGTTTTTTTTATTTTTTTTTTTTTTTTTTTTTTTTTTTATTTTTTTTTTTTTTGTTTTTAATCTACTGTATAGTATTTTTTAGTTTTTAAGTAACTTCGTATTCGTACTTTTTTAAGTTTTTT